TATTTATAGGGATATATTTTTATTTATTTAATTAAATTCTTTTATTGGTACATTGTAGGTATACAACACAATTACATTTCTCATTGGGAATTGTATATGGTTCTCATTTAAATGTGGCTCTTGAAAGTTAACCAAATATATACATCTTTACATTTTGCTACTTCCTTTTTTTTCACCTTTTAAAAAATGCTGGGCACGGGCCGGGGATTTAGCTCAGTGGTGCCGCTCCTGTCTTGCAACGGCAAGTTCCTGAGTTTGCTCCTCGGTACTGGAATAAAAAAATGCTGGGCTCTAATGAGGGCCCCTATAGTTAGTAGGCGAATGCTCTACCATCACTAGGCCTTTAAGGGTTCATATACACTATTGTGCTTTCATCTTAAACATCTCCCAAAGACTCATGTGTTGGAAGACTGGTCATCAGCCTGTAGTGCTTTTATGGGTGGTAGAAACTTTAAGAGATGGGGCCGATGGAAGAAAGTTAAGTCACTTGGGGTGTGTCCTTGAACAGGACAATGAGACCCTAGCCTTTCCTCTCTCATTTTGCTTCTCAGCCACTATGAGCTGAACAGGTTTGCTCTGCCCTATAGTTCTGATATGCTGGGCCGCCTCACCACAGGCCTCAAAGCAACAAGGCCAAGCAACCATGGGCTGAAAGCTCCGAAAGTGAGGGTCAGAGTAAACATTTCCTCCCTAAGTTTTCTGTCTGAGGTATTTTGTCACAGTGACGGAAAACTGACGAACACATATACCATCCCTGTTATGTGGGTATACAACGGTTCTGGGAGAATAAGGAAGGCCCTTGGAAGGGAAGAAGTTGGAGAGGGGCCTTTAAAAACCGTACCAAAGGATGCCTAGCAGAACCTTTTCAGTGGTTCCTAAAATGTGGGTGCACTCATAAACAACTGTAATGCTTTTCCCCCCATGGAAAAGGTACAATATCACAGCAATTTTTTCGAGGAGAAACTGTAAGTTTAAGTATTTACGGTACTGTAAATTATTGAATATTGCATTTTAAGCACTGTCACTTTGGTGAGAGTAGACTTAGGGACCATTGTAAATACTGGTACCTTCTCAGTGAGTGGGCCTGGCTGTATTATTCATGGAAGGACTTTGTGTGGATCAGAGCTAGCATTTGATGCACTTGTAGCTTGCATCTGCCATGCATAAAACCGTGATTTTTGTTTTCAGTTTCAAAGGAAAAATCGACTCAAATTGAAATTTAAAGAGAAAGCACCCAGGACCTTTTGATTAAATCTATCAGAAAGAGAGCAGTGAGTTGTTTAGCATTTGATTGGGAATTCTGAATTCTGTTGACCTTGATGACAGGTTTATGGTTGACATATCTAACTTCCTGAAGTGTTTTCAAGAATACGGGCATTTTGATTAAAAATATTGCCACAAAATTTTCTAGAGATCTTTTTAAAGGATCTTAAAGTTAATTGAAGAAGATACTGTAGCAAAAGGCAGTTATTACAGAGAAGGTTTCAAAGGAAATATTAAAAAGTATGCGTAATTTGAATTTAGAACTTCAAAGCTAGAATAGTTCTTATACAAAGAAAAATGTTTTCTCAGGATTAATTTTGCTTTTTAAGTCTTTGAGATGAGAGAGGGTATTTGTGATACAAAATTGTTAAGGAAACACTTTATATCAAGGTAGGAGAATCTTTTTTATTGTAGAAATCATACTCACATATAGGTTTGTATATGGAAAAAATTTAAACAATACATGCACACATATGTAATAAAATTGTCCTTACACTCATTTTCTGGAGATAAAAAATTTCCATGTTGGGATTTATGTCATGTAAGACCTTGTTTCCATACACATATAAAATTATCAGTAACTACCAATACACACAACTACATTTAAGTAACAATGTGACCAAGCTGAATCTACTCTGTAGCTACATCTTTTTTGTTTTATTTTGTAAAAGGAGATTTACTGAGTTATGATTTGGGTAGGAAAATTCTTCCTTTCTATGTATACCGTTTAATCAGCTTTGACCAGTGTATATATTTGCACAATCACCATCACAATCAAGACAGAGAATATTCCCATAAGCTCTTGAAGTTCTCTCCTGGCCTTTAGTCTGTCTTTCTCCTCTAATGTCAGCTCTTGGGAACCACTGATCTGATTTCTGTTTTATAGTTTTGTTTGTTTTCAGATGTTTTATATATGGGTTTTATGTGACTGGCATCTTTTACTTTGTATAATGCTTTTGAAATTTTTCTTATTTATTGGCAGTTGCTTTTATCTTATTGGTGGGTTTTATTTCATTTTGCAAATGTACCACAATTTGTTTATCCACTCACTATTGAGGGAAATTTGGGTTATTTCCAGTTTTTTGCTGTTATGAATTAAACTGCTTTAAATATCCATATACAGGTCTTTGTGTGTACACGTTTTCATCTCTGTTGTGTAAATACCTAGAGTGGGTTTGCTAGAGTACAAGTATGTGTTTAAATTTATGAGGCACTGCTAAAGTTTTCTAAAGCAGCTGTACAATTTTGTATTCACACCAGTTATTTTGAGTATTCTAGTTTTTCTGCATCCTTGTTAGCACTTGGTATAGTCAAGGTTTTAAATTTTAGCCATTTTAATAGTTCTGTAGGGATATTTCATTGATTTGAACTTGCATTTCTGTAATGCCTAAAGATCATGAGAGTCTTTTATAGGCTTCTCATGTGTGTATTCTGTTCAACTCTTCTGCTAATTTCTTAAATTGCATTCTTTGCTTTACTTTTGAGTAGTAAACGTTCTTCCTATATTGTCAACACAAGTCCTTATCAATGAGTGTTTTGCAAATATCTTTTACCTGTCCATGACTTGTCTTTTTATTTTCTTGTTTTTAGAAAAATAGACACTTTAAATTTTGACAAGGTATATTAAATCAAATTTTCTGTTATGGTTTAAGAGTTTTGTCTCCTCAGACTATCTTGCCTAACTTAAGGCTATAGTAATTTTCTTAAGTATTTTGGAAGTTATATGACCTTAGCTCTTATATTTAGGCCTATCACTATCACTTCTTTGTGTATGTGTAAATATTATTACCTCAAGATTTTATTGTTTTCAAGGTAAATCAAAAGACAAAGCTTAGAACTGGATCGCTCAATGCTTTTTCTTCTTGTCTCCTCCCCATTCAAAATGCTTGCATCTCTTAGCAGCCAGCATTCTCTTAGATCTGCAGTTGGGCTCAACAAACTCAGGGCTCAGAATAATCTTCTTTGTAGTTTTTGGCCTTTTTCTGGAAAATCTGCTTAGCCTCTGCTTCCTGTGGGGTTGGTACTTTCCATACCTCCCACAGGAGGTTTGCTGGGCTCTGGAACCTTTACCATGTTGGCAGGAGCTCTATCAGCACGGAAAAAGATGATCACTTTCACCTTGGTACTGGACCTCAGACTGTGAGGCTGGTTCACTTGCACTGGTCCTCGTCCCTGTGGAGGACTCTGAACCTCTTACCAATACCTTGCACCAGTATCAATCCCTTTGCATAAGCTCTGTGAGGGGGAACTCACACAAGTTAAACAAAGCAACTTCATTAGGCACAGATAGCTAGCAAAGGACAATAGGAGCTGAGGATTCAAAGATGCTTTCCAGAGTGGAAACTTCCCACTTCTGCTAGGTCCACTTCTCATCACAGATGAGGGACCCTGAAAGCACACTCTATCCTGGATTCTATATCCAGGGACAGTGAGACATTCGGAGGCAAAGAGTCACAGAATATTCTCCTCTGGGTCTGTTCCTCTGACCAGTTCCTCTTTATGTCAGGATGTAGCACATCCAGCACCTTCTACAGTTATCTGAGCGGTACAAGCCATAAGGGGAAGAGCTGGGATGCCAAGGTCATTTGTGTTCCATAGATCCCATTTCCTGTGACGACTAAATTTTACCTCACTCTTTTTAGTGATTGTGTATTAAATTGTAGTATCGATATATCCTGACTTTATTTAGCCCTTCTCAAGTGAATGTATTTAAAACATGGTTCCTATAAAGGAAATATTTCTGGAAGCAAAACTGTTAACTCATAGGACTTTCAATTTTAATACTATGGTAAGTATTGCCGAATTGGTTCCACAAAAGAGGATAGAATTTTTACTATTAATAGCTAAAGAAAGTGTCCTTCATCCTAAATCTTAGCCATAACTAGATATTTTCAATCTTTCAAATTTTCGTTAATTTCATTAGTGAAAAATGATGTTGTGTGTTTAGATTGCACCTCTCTGATCTTTGGACAACTCATTTAGCTATCTTTTAAATTTATATTTAGCTGTCTTTTTTATTTTTTATTTTTCTTTATATGCAATTTACCATTTTTAACCATACAATTCAGTGACATTAAGTACATTCACGCTGCTGTTCAACCATTACCATGATGATCTCTGGAACCTTTTCATCTTTCCAAATGGGAACCTGTACACGCATTAAACACTAATTCTCCATTCTTCTCTCCCCAAACTGCTGCTTACCACTATTTAACTTCCTATCTGTCTATGAGTTTGCCTATTCTTTTTTTTGGTTTTTTTTGGCACCGGGAAGCAAACTCGGGTCCTTGCACTTGTGGGGCAGGCAGCAGCACCACTGAGATAAATCCCCAGCCCTAGTTTTCCTATTCTTGATACCTCATGTAAATGGAATCGTACAATATTTGTGTTTTTCTTATTTCACTCACTATATTTTGAAGGTTTATCCATGCTGTAGGATGTGTGAGAATTGCATTTCTTTTTTCTTTTGCAGTGGTAGGGATTCAACTCAGGGCCTTTGCATTGAGCTACATCCCCAGCCCTTTTCATTTTAAATTTTGTTACAGGATCTCACTAAGTCACTAAGTTGCCCAGGTTGGGCTCAAGCTTATGATTCTCCTTCCTCAGCCTCCCAGAGAGCTGGGGATTACAGGTATGCACCACCATGCCTGGATTCTTTTTTAAGGCTAAGTAATATCTTATTATATGTAAATATCACTTTTTTTTTTTTTACACATTCACCATTGATTGACATTTGAATTGTTTCTGCTTTTTGGCTATTCTGATAATGCTGATATAAATACTTATGTATAAATAACTGTTTAAGTTCTCTTTCTTACTTCTTTTGAGTATATACCTAGAAGTCAAATTGCTGGATCATGTAGCATTTTTATCCTTAACATTTTGAAGGGCTGATATACTATTTTCTATAGTGGTTATACTATTTACATTTCCTCCCACAATGCACATGTGGTCCAACTTGTCTATTTTTTACTTTATGTATTAAAAATGTATTTTTCTTCTCTGAATTATTTGTATGCTTTGTCCTTCTTTTCTATTAGATTTTCTCCTTTTCTTTCTTGTCTTCCTCCTCTTTCTTTTTTTCTTATTAAAGTTTTTTTTTTGCCAGAAATTATTTGTATTTTAGAGGCATTAGCTTTTAGGTTTTAGCTACAAACTTTTCTGCTCTGACATTGGTCTTTTAATTCTATTTAATGAACTTTTCATCTTCAGGAGGAGCTAAATCACCTCCTTGGCAGAGTGCTGGCCCTTCATTTACTCTGTATTGCAAGAAAAGCAGCACAACTTTCTCTATAATAATTATTAATACATATTCATTTTATAAATGGATAGGATTCAATGTAGTATTTTTCATGGATGCATATATTGTGCATTGTGTCTATTCACCCTTCTGCTCCTGTGTGGATCTTTTTAGCATATGCACATATATTGTAGAGTTGTTTGATTTCACCTGACCTTGATTTCTTGCTCAGAAAGGTGCTCCCCAACTCAAAACTAGGAGGCTATTCCTCTGTTCAGTTCCAGTATTTTACAGTTCAGTCTGGTCCCATGGAGTCCGATAAGGAGATAATCCACCCTATGGATTCTGTTTCTGCGTAGATAACCAGCGGTCTCAGATTCTCTACATGGCCCCTTCTCTTTCTCACTGCTTTAAAATGCCAGCTTTATTATATGCTAAATTTTTATATATAATTCAGCCCATTTCAGAATGTTGTCTTCAGTTTCATGGATCTCTGTTTTGTGGACAGCATCACTCTTGCAGTTTATTTTATGGATAACTGCTGATCCTTCGAAGCATTTTAAATTCATTTTATTTTCCTGGGTTTAGATGTTATAGACTAAAATTGCAGCAGTAGACTGCAAGACAAATTCTGATAAAAACATAGTCATAGTCATAGTCAGCTTTCTTACACCTCTACATTACTTCTAACTCGCTCCCACCATAGGAATGATGTCTTTGGTGACATGGTAACTTTATTCTTGCATTTATGTTGAGTCAGAAGCTGCTTTAAGTTTCATGTTTGTGATTATCTGGAAATCTGAAAAAAAATAAATTATAAAATTAACTTTTACATTGGGCTAGAAAGTAAAACCACTTTGAAATATAGCTTAAAGGTGAAAAATACTTAAATTATTTTTCATTTGCAAGAACACCTCTGATTTTTTTGAAAAGTAGTGCTTCAGTGTTAGCTTATCAACTGACAGACAAAACTACACTTCTTGTTGTTGAAGAATAAAATTATATTTAGTTCTTACACAATGAGGGTACTAAATAGAAAGGTTTTACTTGATTTATTGTACCTGTTGGGGTTTTCCAAGTGTTCTGAACTTTGAGACACATTTTCTTCTGTTGATCTTCTAGGCACTTCTAAAGAAAAAGATATATAAATTTAATCATTTATCATGAGTGCAGTTTATGGTTGTTTTGAACTTGAACCTGGGAATGCCTTTTCAGCGATATCCATCCTTACCACATACATCATGATAAAGGTGTGTGTATCACTAGGGAAAATTATATTGTTTGAAGATAACCAAAACAATATCTTTCACTCCATATATTCTTCTACAGAGTGGCCTTGTTACCATCATGAAGAAGCAGAATATTATTCCTCTCCTCTTGAAATTGGGCATAGGGCTTTTGTAATCAATAGAAAATGGAGAAAATGACTTGTAACATGACTTCCAGCCTCTGCCTGGTGGCCTACGGACGTTTGTTTTGGAAGAAGCAAGTCACCATATAAGAGATCCGACCACCCGAGACTGCCATGCTGGATAGCCATGTGCAGATGCTCTAGAGTCCCAGCCGAGCCCAGTCTGATGGGTACCCCCACCAGGCCCCAGTTTACAAACAAACCTGTCTTTGAGCCTTCAAATCAGCCCAGTGGTCATCAGGTACTACTTAGTCACCTCAACTGATGTCCAGCCAAGCCCTGCCTGAATTTCTAAACCACAGAATTCTTGTGATATAAGGAAACAACTGGAAAGGCCCCTGTGCAATGGGAAAGGGCAGCTTTTAGGAATAAGATGACATAATAAAACAATACTCAGAAGTAATATTAATTTAGAACAATTTAAAGTACCCAAATAATGAAGTCAAATATGGAAAATTTATATATATATAAATATATCTATATAGAATAGATGAAGAGATGTATAAAGAGACATGTTAATTTGTTACTTAACTTTCGTATCTGCCCTTTTATTTTTGACTGGAATCCAGTGGGACAGATCCAGTAAGATATTGCAGGCCTGCTTATGACAGTCCCCAGTTTTTACACCCCCCTCTCATTTCCTACATTCTCTTCGGAATACAGAAAATGCAATAGTTGGACTATTATCAGTAACACACACCTATCTTCACCCTAGTTTCTGAAATCCTCTTTATATTCTTGCTCTAACAGGCATACAGCCTTCCTCTGGAAATACTATTGGTCCAGAAATGCTTTTTGCTTTTGTTTTTCTCAGTCTTCTCACTACTGGACTTAGAGATGGGAGACATCCCCCCGTTCCCATGTTATTCAGGACATTTGTCCTTCTCCTTTCTCTTCCTAGTGCTCATGTCATCAGACTACAAATTAGCCATTCATGCTTATTTTGATCTATCTACAACTGGAGTCATTCTCAACTGAGTTTATCTTTGGCTTATTGTAATTTTACTAGTTTCTAAATGTAGTAATTTCAATATGTCTCAATTACTTGATCTCCTATTCTCTTAGATCTTATTTTTTCTTCCTTCCTCAGCCATTGACTTTCCTGGTAGTAATTAGAACTTGTCATCACCAGTAAATACAAGCTCTTCTGTATTTCAGTTTCGTGCAACAACTACTCAGTTGCCACCTTTTCTCCTTTTACTTCACCTTTTCTTTGGTACTTCAACACAATATGAAAACACATCTCTGTATAGAGGACCTTGAGACCTCCAATTCTACCACCTCTTGAATGTTCCTCCACATTTTGAAACCTCTCTCTTCTTCATACCGTTTAAACTTCATGCTCACTCCTTAAGATATACATTCACTTCTTTATCCTTTTGCCACTTTGTCAAAGCCACTTGACAAGGTTATAACCCTAATTAAATCCAGCTGAATGCCTGTTCCTCGCCTGTACCATGTAGCTTGATGTGGCTGCAGAAAACGCACAACTGGGCAAAGAAGCTTCACTTTAAGTTCATGGGCACAAATGCTAGGTGCACTATTAATGCTTTCAGTCCATCCTACTAAACATTGTAATTCATTTTTTCTTTCACTTTCATAGATCACTGTTTAACTTTTTCTTTTTTTTTTCTTGAACCACTAGCCCTCCTCTGCATCTTCATTCTCAGCTAATGATTTATTTTTGTTTCATGGAGGAAATAAACATAGGAAAAAAATTCTAAAAACTCTATGGCAAGAGCTCCTCCTATGACTGCTTCTGTTCTGAATACTATACTCCCATTGTGTCACTATGGATGAGCTGCCTACATTCCAATCTGAAGTAACATCTTCCACTTCTACCTCACTTCCCTCACTTCCTGCCTTGCTCACAGCAGACATAGCTCTAGGAATTCCATCTGCCTCCCACTGAAGGGAAGATTTTTTTTTTCTTAAATTCTTTTATTGGTACATTTTAGGTATACAACACAATTACACTTCCATTGGGAACTTGTACCTTTACATGATGCATCTTGGTTCTTATTTTTTCCCCATTCCTAGCCCTCCCTTCACCCCCTCCTCCCTTCCCTATTTACAAAGACTTTATTTCCATTTTTTTCCATTTCTCAGCATTTTTCCTTTCCCTTCTTTCCTTTCCCCTGCCCCTCCCACTACCCCTACCCCTTTAGACCTTTTCTTCCTATTTTACATTATTGATTATTCATTCTAACCTTTGGTACATTTTAGTTATACAATATAATGACATTCATCATTGGAAATTTGCACCTTTACATAATCTCTCTTGGTTCTTATTTTTCACCTTGCCCAGCCTTCCCTTCAACCCCTCCATTCCTCCCTATTTACAAAAATTTTGTTCCTATTTTTTCATTTTCTCATATTAATTCCAATCCCTTCTTTCCTTTCTCCTACCCCTCCCACTTCCTTCCCCTTTGCCCCTTTTCTTCCTATTTCACGTTACCTACTATACATTTTAGTCCTTATTTACACTTTCATTTTCTCACACCAGAGAAACTATTCGGTATTTATACACGTGTGTCCTATTTATTTCACTTAAGAGTGTTGCCTCAATGTGCATCCACTTAGTTATAAATGTCTCTAATTTCTCATTTTTTATGGCTGAGTAGTACTCCATTTTATTAAAAAACCACATTTTCTTTATCCGGTTTCCAGTTGATGGCCACTTGGGATGTTTCCAAGTTTTAGCTATTACAAAGTGTGCTACTATGAACATGGGTGCACATATATCACTGTGGTATGATTCTTTTAATTCTTTGGGGAAGATCTCCACCAGTGGAATAGTGGGGTCAAATGGGATGAAGTGGAGATTTTGCTATTAGATCACTTCCTCCAGCATATGAATAATTAGTTGAGGCCATTGTTCTCACCAATGGATGTGGGCAGGACTAGATGTGCTGTACGTGGTGTGTGGCCCATGACACTGGGCATTCATTCCTCCTTGAACTTTCACTTTTTTTTCAATCTCAAACATGGAACAATTACTCTATCATTCAGATTCTACCATGCAGAAAATGACCGAAGTCTAAGGCAGTGGTTTTCTACTGGGTGTGACTTCGTCCCCCTCCCTCAATAACAACTGGAAACTTTTTTGTTGTTATAACCAGTAGAAAGAAGAGCTACTGACATCTAATGTGTAGAGGCCAGGGATGTTTCTCAACATCCAACAACGCACATGACAGTCAAGGCCTACTCTCCCCATCCCAATAAAATATTGTTCAGCCCATTTCAGGAGAGCAAGGTTGGGAAACCCTACCCTGCGGGGGTGGGGGGAGCAGTAAGATGAAAGGCCAATGCTCCCGAATGTCTGTGGGATTCCTGCATGCATGTAGAATGCTCACTTTAGGGTTAAGGAGGCAGAAAGCTTCATATTCTCAACCTACTGTACTTTCGGGGCTCTCTATAAAAAGGGCTTGGTCTCTCACCTAACTAATATGTTTTTTCGTTCTCTTAGATAAAGAACCACCTTCAGCTTTTCAGCTTAATATTTTTCCTTGCACTACAATATACCCTAATGCCCACTTTATACATTCTAATGTCTTGAACTCAGCATTTCTTTGGCTTGAAAGAATGTAACAGGATGTAGAAAATTTCCCTTGATTTTCTAAGTTTGAAATTGTGCTTGGTTGGTCTCAAATACATTAGCTTTCATTCCCTGGATACTGAGGAAAGTTGATTTTATTGTGGAATATTTCCCGAAGTAGACTGACTGAGCAGAATAGCTATATATACCATTGCTCTACTCCATGTGGGTTACAACTACTAGTTTCAATCAAAAACATTTACACACTCTGCTCTAGGAAATCTTAGCAATGATTAATTTACGAGAAGAAATATTTAAACTTAACTTTCAGGTGTTCTGATGCTTCTATTTATTTACAATGAAGTGGGCCTCACAGGATTGTTGACTCTTGGTTCCATCTTTGTAAAAGTGCTCATTTCAATTCCTAATCTAGGTTCTGTGTTATGGGCCTGATCTAGGGTATGATTTGAATAATGTGTGGTCTGTAGGACTTCAAGGAAGCTGTAAGGTACCACTCTCAGAGAGGGGCTGATAACAATCAAGAAGAAGTTAAAGTGTGATATTTGCTTCTACTATTAACTATTTCAATAGAAATGGGCATTTCTCTGCTAACAATGAAGACATTCTCAGATGCTAAATCCTCTCAAGTGGGCAACAAAAGGATCTTATTCATACTACCCATCAGTCCATACTGCAAAGGAATAAGCCAGTCAATACTGATTATAATAAGCTTACCATCTCATCCCCTTATTTGAAAAACAATGGCATATAATTTTTAGATAATATAGTATACATATATAAATGAGATTTAAAAATATTATCTGTAGAGGAGCATGAATTAAAATGGAGGAGATACTCTCTGGCAGTTTGGTGACTGGAAAGGTGCATGAATTTTTATAATTTTGTCATGTAAAACCTTTTTAGTGGCCTTATTGTAGAAAAGGGTAAATAATAACTCATACATAAAGGTTGTGTCAGAGTTTATAGACTAGACCCCTGGTAATGGATTCAACCTTTCCACAACAAATCAAAAGTATTGTTGTATGTTCACATGAATATACAGTAGTCATTACCTTAAATTTAAAACTCACTATAAGCAGCAAACACAGAGAGCAGGATATGAAGGCTGTATTGTATCAGTGTGGTCTGCAGAGAATTTCTTCATACGGTTTTTGCCTT